ATGCGTTTCAGAATTGCCAATTAGGTTTCTTGAAAGAAAAAAAAATGATTGGCAACAGATGGATCTATAAACTATGAGTTAAAAAAACAACAACAAATGAATTAAGAAATGAAGGGCTTTGCATTTTGGCCATTGTTGTAGTAGTTATGTTTGGAAACTCAGCATAATGACAGAAACATACAACAAGAACTACAACCACCACATCTTAACAACAGTTTCTATGTAGACGACTCTTCCTTAACATGCCCTATCGGCTTCTTATTAAAGAGTCGGTTGTTCATTTCACTCTCAACTACTGCAATCTACGTGGAAAGTGGTTATCATGGAAGGCAGTAACAAAACAAAACTTAAACCATCTGAACTAACCACTGGAAAACCAATTAATGTGTTACTGTAGAAGACATCCTATTTTCTGGATAAGCACACACGTGAGATTGTTGTGATAGGCCTAAATGAAATACTAAAATAACACTCGCTAATAGAAGACTGCATGGTTGCCATGACAACAGGCATTGGCGTTCATGTCAATGCGCTCCTGAATAACAGTGCAAAGGTATATTGTTATCCATGTCTGCAGCTGCCATTTGTGCTCCGCTCTTTGATCCGTGATAACACTGATAGCCTTTGTGTCCCCTTAAAGTGTCACTGACACCAATAAAACCACTTGCAGGAGACTATAAATGCAGGGTCGATGTGTCCGTCTGTTGTAACTGGGTCAAACCTCAGCACCAACTTTTGACGTGATCAGGGCAAGTCAAACCGTAAACAAATAAGGTTGAGTGCAAAGAAGCGGAGGACATTGTGAACAACTTCACCGAAGAGTTGAGCAGTTTCGACGAAATGGAAGTGAGAAAGGATGAAATGGCTGAAGTGTATGAAATGGAGGTACAAGTTTTGAAGGGGTAAAGTTTTGAATTGACACAGAATGGAAAAAAAAATAAATAAATCCGTGTACACTTATGTTTATGTTTGTCCCAATTTCAAATAGAGGCTGCTTTATTCCTTTAAAACTTCCATCTATCTGACTGACTTTCCTTATTGCTGCTCTAAATATTTGCATGCGCAAGTTAACCTCTATGGAAGCACCAAAGAAGACAGGAATAAATCATTGTGCTGCTTATTAGAGACCTGTGTATTCATCAGACTGTATGAGGTAAGCTCTCTAGGGTGACTGCTAATGCATACAAGTCACACACAGTTATAGTAGCTGAGCATTTTTGCATTGTAAGGCATTTTCCATACATTGAAAATACAGGGCATCTTCTTCTTGACCACATGCAGAGCTGTAAAGTTAATTGCCAAGTCACGTCAGTGAACTGTAACCAATAATGTCTAACAAATTGGATCATTTTCGTTCTTAAAATCTCCTATAGCCCAGGGTTAATTTGAAGTTGCAGCAAAGTTAAAAAATGTATGCATATGTAATGATGTTTTAACACTTAGGATTTGTGTGGGTCTTAATTGCAGCATAACTGAGACGTTGTATATTGGTGCTTTTGTTACAAGAAAAAAACAAAAACAAAACTTGTACAGCCTCTTCTGTGCCCCAGTAAAAAATAGTAAAAGTTTTGCATACATGTTTGGTTAAGAACTGCTTTAATATTCTTTAATATGCAACATCAGAATAGACTTTCTTTTCAATATAAAAATATAATGAGTTTTCCTGGGGATACCTCATTTAAGTCAATTTAATCATGCCATTTGTACCATTCAGTGTCGTACCATTTTCTTTTACGAGTTCCGATATGCAAAGAAGAAACCTTGCAGTTAAATGAGCGGATTACGGGGCTGCTGCTTCAAGCCAAGAGTGAGACTTGCTGACCCATTTAATGTCTACTTCCAGTGAAGCCGCGTTTTGGATGCGACCCCATCTATTCCTCCATAATCCTACAAGAGATGATCTTGTCTCTAGGCGGGCAAAATTATCAGAGGTGACAAGAACTCAACTGTCTGTCACACAGTGCTTAAGCATCACTTTGAGGTTTTGCTTTAAATGTCAAGCCAAATCAAATGGGTTAGATGTTTGTCCACTTGAGAAATATTGGGGCAGTGCAAGTAGAAGCTGCATGGCAAATTCTGCGTCAGCTGTTTTTCTCCTAAGAATGCCCCAATAAGTTACCCTCAGTGCATGCTGCAAAATTCTTTTTTGAAGATAAATCTAATTCTCGCATTTAAAACAGCTCTTCCACATCTTGGAAAAAAAAAGCACACTTATTTGACTTGCTAAGGTTTGAGTGAGTCCTGAGCTCATCGCAGCAGTTATAATTTCGAAGTAAGGTGCATACAAAGACAGTCATGCATGTAATCTACTAAGATTAGTTCAAAACTCACAAATTAATCTTTAAAATGTTTTTGGATTACATTTTAGATCATGTAGATTTCACTTCAATTTGTTTTCAAAGTTCTGCACTCTTTTTACCCCAAATTGCTCAAACGCATTGTGCTTTTTGATAGCTTGTTTTAGTGCCAAGTGAGGCAGTCAAACGAGCATCAAGATATTAAAGAGAGGGCGTCCAGTGACAGCAAGAAAAAAAAAAAGTGCCATCATTTACGTGTCAACATCAGCCATGTGGGAGGACAAGTTTATTGACAACTTGATGATCATCCTGGACCATTCTGGCTCACTCTCATCGACTTCAGCTCAACATACATTAGTCAGCAGCAGGGCCAGACTCAGGTCTCATTTGTCAAGAAGTGAGAGCAAAGTCCTTGTTGAAATTAAAATAAAAATGTGTGCCCCAAGGAGGACATATGCTGTGTCAGCTAGAGTTTGCAAAGCTCCCAAGTATACTCAACAGCAAGCGAGGATGGGGTTATTACAATGGTCGGGAAGTCTAACTGTGTGTTTAAGTGAGTTTTCCCACTTTGCAGACAAATAACTGGACTGCACCAGACCCCATTTAAAACATCTGATTCTGCTGTCGGGGATCTGCATCAGTTCAACAACGAACAGATCAATTGAGCATAAAGCCTGCTTGCCGTAGCTCAATCCATATCAGCGAGGTTAAAAAAAACGAAGACTCTTTCTTAACTTCTGCCGGATTATTTCACAGCCAGTAAACAATAATTTTCTTCCAAAACATGCAACGCAATATGAATCCATTTTGAAATGTTCTTCACACTACAACCACAAACTTTAAGCACTGCATGATTATGTAATGGGGTGGAAAAAAGATAGACGTTTTGAATTTTATTTTACAAAAAATATTTTAAAAGTTTGGCAGGTACAATGTATGTATCCTGCACTCCCCAGGTTGAGATCAATGTTTTTCAGAACTGGCTTTTGCTACAATTATACCAACAAATCTCTTGGCCATCTGTCTACTGTTTGCACATTTTTATTTGCAAGATAGCTCAAGTACAGTTAGATGGGCTGGAGATTGTCTATGAATGGCAATTTCCAGGTCTTATCATAAGCCTCTGTCTAAGTTTGAAGTCTTTTGTGAACTAAAGTGGGCTTTCCTTTACTATTTAGCTCAATGGATATTTCCATTATTCTTAACCAGATTTCATGTCCCTACTGAGGAAACGAAACATCACAGCTGCCACAATGAAAACAGTGTTTTCAGACTGATGTGTAGTGTAGCTTTTGCAACAATTTTCTTTTCATTTGACAGTTAAGAATTACTTTGTGCTCATAAGCAATACAATATGATCCAATGAAGTCTGTTTCTGTAATGTGACAAAATATATAAAAAACAAAACACTTTCCCAAAGCACTGTAAATAAATTATTATATGGTAGAAAGGTTAGAAATGTTCAGGGTTTACTTCCAGAAACCTTGAAGCACACCATAAATTTTCTAGCGTAAGTATGTAAAACAGCTGCTAATTCATAATCTAAAATAAGGGTATAAATTTTTACCACATTATCCTCATGAAATTATTTAATATTACTTGTAAAATGCAAATAGTGAATTCAGTTCTGTCATGTGCCAGGGTTTTGCTAGGGTATTGCTGTGGAGGAACATCAAACATTCAAAGGCGGAATAATAACAATTCTAGCTGTGGCAGTGGATTCCTGGCATATTACTTATTACTTCTTCTTTGAAAACTGGACTTTATTCTTTGTCACAGTAAAGCCTGCCTCTTACTGGTTATACTGAAGCTGTTCCACTGACTGAACCCAATTTAGCAGCCTTAGCCCACGACCTATCACTACCAAAGTGGACGAGCAAACATATTAATAAATATCGAGCTTCCTGATAATCTGTGGAAAAGTTGCTTGACCTCTGTGGCTCATCACTGAATGTGTTGGGTATTTCTTGGGCTTAAGATTCTGGGTGTGAAGGGGATTAGGATAATTGCTGTTATTATATTCTCAGTGCAAGGGCTATCACAGGTCTGGACTAGCTACTTCTCTGCTCTTGACAACTAAATTAAAAAACATGTGCAGCTGATGTGACCCTGGATGATTGATCCTTCTCCCTCGTGTCTAACATCTCTTTCCTAGGCGGGACCTTAAATCCTTACACTCCTGTCTCGGAGGGTGAGATGTTTTTTCCTCTTTTTAATGGCCAACAGAGATTTGGAATTTCAGCATTACTCGGGGAAGAATCTCACCTTGCCCTCGGCCAGACTTTACACCTGTCCTGGCATGCACATTTCCAGAGTAGCAGACATACTGTAGCTCAGCTTCTACCATCTCACTCGACATGCTAGCAATAGTCCCCCGAGCTTTAGCATCTGGTGCTCTGGGAATGCAGGGATGGTAAACCTCTCCAAATCCCCTGGATGCTGATCCTCCATGATAAGGTAACTTGCTTCAAGGTGTTGTTTATCACTTCAGACAGCCTCAAGATGCTTTCCTACTCAGAGCTTTCCTGAACATATCTTTGACATATAGGGTTCTAAATTAAAAAATCAGTCAGTTATGGCACCTGATAGTACATGTGGAATACCAAAGGTTCATCAAATGCACTTGTTAGGAATTTAAACTTTTCTGCAATCATGTTTACATGTACTGTCTGTAGAAGATGTGTATGCGAGGCTAGTTCTTACCATGTGCTGGGTCAGGCGGGCCAAACTCCAGGTTGTACCTCAGGACGTAAAAGTTATCCCACACATAGAGCTGGTTATCTCTGGGATTATAATCCACAGCTGCAATGTACTGGTACTGATTGGGAAAGTGGATATCGACAAATTCCCCACGATTCTGTTTGGTGTTATAAACGTAATCTATCAGACTTTTGCTGACCTCGCTTTCATTGTCTTCATAGGTGGAGCGCACAACGTACAATACTCCACAAACCATGAAGGCATTGGAGGCTGAGCGCTTATCATACGCAGTTTCCCAGGTAGCCTCAAACCGAAGCGTGTACGGGTTCAATTGACTGATAACCATCATGCCATTGTTCTGCTCAGTGGCGTAGATCACCCAAAGCCCATTCTCGTCTACCGCCAGGTCGATGTCTGTTTTGCCTCCCCACTTGTAGGGGGACGTGTCGTGGTAGTTGGCGTTATTGATAATGGCCTCGCCACTTTTGATGCGAGTCCTCAGGTCAAACTTCACAATATTGCGCGTGCGCTCCTTGTTGAAAAACACGGCCCCGTCGTAGACCACAAATCCAGTCCCGTCCACCCGGTGAGGCAGCTTGTAGGTGATGGTCTGCCGGGCGTTTTGGACGTCATCCAGGGAGGAATATTCGATTAATGTGTCTGTCCTATATGGAGTCCAAGGCATGAAGTAGATTTTGTCGCCAGCTTGAAGCGGGTCTTTGCACCAGGCCCCAGCTTGTTGCTCCACCTCAAACCGAAAGGAAGGGTCACCGACAGCTTTCAGAGTCCCAGGACAAAGAAAAACTAGCAATGGGAGAAGAGTAAAATGAGAAACAGGTACAGGTTAAAAGGTGAAACATGAAACTAGGATTTATAATCACAACATGTTCTCTGGCATCAATTTCTTCTACATAATTTCTAATAAAAGTATGAACAAATATTTATGGGCATTATGAACAATCACTATAACAATTTTAGTCATGTGCACAAAAAGAAAACAAAATACAAAAGTTATCAAGCAAATGATTAAATTGTAATATAAAGCTTGAAACATTAAAGGTTGGCCTCAAACATTTACTGCTGACTAGAACATAAAAAAGGGAAGGGGGTCGAATAGAAACATAACCTAATAAAAAACTGGTCAGTAAACAACAACAGAACTAAAGAAAACTAAACAAAAGAAGTCACTTGGCAATAGATGGTAGAGGTTATGACAGAGCAGGAGTCAGCCGAGTCTGCAAAAGTGTGTGTGCGTGTGTGTGTAAGTGTACTTGGATTGTCCTCGAGTACACCACCCCAATACACCAGAAATGTTTGTCTTTACAAAGTGGTGCAGATATCACAATCGTTGCATTTTAAGATACTTTAACTAAGGGTTTGTTGAGGTGTTTTGGTTGTTGCTTTGAGGTATAAGAGGGATAAGAATCAACAGACAAAAGAGAAGCAAGTGGTCAAGATGAAAGTAATGTTGGAGGAAGAGTGAGAAGGGGGAGCTTGGAGAAAAGGGGGACAGTAGAATGCAATAGCTTGAAAAGAGGCCCAAGACACACTGTTACCATAGCATGCTATGGGAAGGGGTTTGGAAGCCAGGCAATATGAGATTCTGCTGAGTAGCAAAAGCACACAGGGAGAATGAGAAGAGGATGTCCCTAAGGACTGCAGCCAATACACCCCCATTTACATCTTTTGGGCTGCATGTGTGCCATTTCTTTTATGGCCAGCCTCACTACTTCCCTTACAGCTCTTCTCTGGCCATTAACATTACAGCTGGAGAAAGGGGGGAAAAGGGCGGGGGGAATTCTGAAAGGAAACATCTGCAATGTGTTTGTAGAGGCCACCATGAGAAAATAGGTAATTTACAACCAGATGCCACAAAACAAGGAGCTAGGGTTTTGATCATGTCTGTTATTTACCTTTTTGCTCCACTTCTATTTTAAGCGTTGGACGAGAGAATGAAAGGGTTGCAAGGGGAAAAAAGAGATTAATATGAATTAACTGTCATTGCTATGATTACATATGCAGCAACATGTTATGAGACATGGAAATAGATGGGTACACCTATTAGAAGCAGGAAAGTTGTGAGAAAGATGGCACACAGCTGTCAAAGTCCTGTTGTAAAAAAGAGGTTAGACTCTCACAGACAAAAAATGGTCCGATCACAGTTGCTGCGTTTGTGAACAGTTTCAGATTGGTTTATTGTGGTGGATGGATTTTAACAAAACTAGATTCCACGTATTAGTTTTGTGCTGTCCTTGATGACAACTCCCATTTCGCTTCTACATATAACATAATATATTTCAGTAAAACTACTCAACAGAAACGGTGTTGAACACAACAAAAGCCGTCTCTTTTTCAGCAAGAAAGAGGGCAAAAGCAAACTTCGTAATAATCATGGTTTGCACCAATGAATGAATGCGACAGATTTTCAAGGTAAGCTGTTGGAAGGCCAAACTGAAGTAGAACCGTACTTTGGTTCCTTTAATCCACCCACCACCACAAACCACAAAAAGTAGTTTTTTTTTGTTTGTTTTTTTTTTAATTCAGCTGTTTTTCTTGTACAAAGACGGGTGACAAATCAAAGTAAAAAATGAAAAATAAAAAATAAACAGAACAACTGACTGAAGCAACATAGCATATAGGCAGATGGATTAAGCAGTTAACAACCAATTATGCTTTATAACATGTATACAAATGGCAAGCCACATAGGTAGTCTCAAATTTGTTAAAGAGACGTGGGAAGGAAAATTTGTAAACTATTTTCAAATTTTGTTGCTAAAGTACCTTGCAGTGTTTTCATCTAATGTTTTTTGCATGTCTATGTGAGATGCACAAAACACAGAGCTTGATTTTTGAACTAAAAGGGAAAATATGTATGGATTTCAATATTAAAAGCCTGATCTACATTTTAAATCCCCCTCTTTAGTGTGATACCACTAAATAAAATACATCACTATTAATTGTCTTCTTAAGTCCAGAGTCTGCCTGTGTGTCTTTTAATTTTAGTGTTAATACAGCTGATCTATGAAGGCCTTAGAGGTTTGTTAGAGAACAACAGTGAACAACTAAGGAACACACTGGACAAGTCAGGGATAAAATTATGAAGAAGTTAAAGTTAGGCTTAAAGCAATATGTCAAGCTTTAAACATACAATGAGATGGCCATATACCTAAATTGACAATTCGGTAAGGAGAGAATTAGTCAGAGAACAAGAAGCCAATGGTAATTTTGGAGAAACTGCATAAGTCCACAAAGCTCAGGTGGAAGAATCTGTCGACGGGAAACTATTAGTCACTCTCGCCACAAATTTGGTCCTTGTGGAAGAGTGCCAAGAAGCAGGACATGACTGAAAAAAAGCCATGAAAAGTCCAGTTATCAATTTGCATCAAACCATGAAGGGGACACAGCAAAAAGTGCTGTGGTCAGGTAAAACAAAAAATAAGATCCATCCAACTTCCAAAGTGCTCCATGAAGTGAACATCATCCCCCTTAACGTCCCTTCCCCAAGGTAAATGGTGTCGGCTGCATCATGAGGGGGAAAGCTTTTCTTCAGCAGGTACAGGGAAGCTGGCAAAATATATGAAAATGGATGGACACTGCAAAGTATTGACTTGGGGGACTAATACCAAACTCCTGTCTCGCTCATTTTCCTTTCGCTTCAGTTGTACGCTACCATGTTGTACTGTTAAAGTTCAAGGGTTTTGAAAAATTTTGCAAATCCCCATAATGCACAGACTGACTCGCTGTGAAGGTTTGTAGATCCTTCAGTAAAGATAATTCTCAGGCTGATCATTAGCAAATTATATCAGTAAATATTGCTAGGCTGTGTAGGAGGCTGTCAAGTACAAAAGTAATGGAAGTATCATTACACTATGCAGTATGGAGACCACATCAAAACAAAAACAAAAAAAGGAACAGAAATACTGCCCATTTCTCAACGGCAATTATAGTACATTCAAATAGATATTCAACACTAATAAACTGAAAGGGACAAACACTTTTGGTGCTAAAAGTAATCTCTTAAGTTTTGGGGTGTGGGAGAAAAAACATTTACTCACTATAATCTCTGAACCCTCGTTTCTATAGATATTGTGGACTAGAAACCAAATCTCTAAACTGTACAAAGGGTCGTCAAAACTGGCCAAAAAAAAAATAACTGGAAGCATATTCAGTCATATGGTTTATAACATATTGTGTTCTTTTCTACTGTGTTTTTGTGGCTCGTAATTGGAATTTGCGTTGCTGTTAAGAAGCAATTTCCAATTTTTAGTCAGTGTGCAGAACACTAAAATAATACCATTCATAGACTCTTACTTGACATAATTACCATACTTAATTAGTTGTTAATGTTAATTTTGTTACTTTTTTAAAATTAAGACTGTAAACACAATAAGAGTAAAACAAAACTGAGATGAAAGAGCTGTACAAAAATGTAAGAAAAATTACAAGGTTAATTTGACTATTTCTTTCCCAAATTATTTATTTCTTAATCCAAGGTTTTTAATGAATATATACCAAGATCAACAGTGTTTACTTTATTCATAAAAAGATAAGAGAATCTTTAATGAAAAAAAATAAAATAAAATACACAAGCTATCTAAATCAGATTAATGCTTCTTAGCACTACATCGTCTAATGAAATATGGTTTATTCAGACTTGTCCAGTCAATGCCTTGAGAGACTTAAGCTGTGCATTAGGTGCTTTATGACTTAAGACTTTATCAAGGCACTTGGGTTTTTCCTTTCATTTGCCACCCGTCTGTAATTACTTGACAAAAGTCTTTAATAATAAAACCATCTTTAACTACATAAAGAAGAGATGAGAAATCACATAAATTATTTGAACAAATCACATCAATACTGCATGCAAAACTAAAACTTACACCTATGACAAAGTTCACAATATACTGTAAATAATACCTGACTTTTTTTCTTTTTTTGCACTGATTTAAAAAATGATCAGTGAGGAAAATGAATGGAAATAGAGAAATAAGAAAAAACCCAGAAACCTTAGATAGCAGAATATATGGCAAAAACGTAGTAATATTTGAATAGAAGAGACTCAAAAACTATAAGTGATGAAAAGTACACGCTGTATAAAATGACTAAAAACAAAAATGCTTTTGGCAATGTTGAACATTAAGTCAGACAAAACATTTCCTGTTGTAGGTCAGCAAGGATTACTAAAGGATTGCCTTTTACTAAATACCAGAATAATGGGAAATTGTTCAAGAGTTTTTTTTTTTGTTTGTTTGTTTGTTTGTTTTTAACTTTCTTCAGATTCAGAGATTTAAATGCATAGAACTGATTTTAATAATTAATAACTAGAATAAAATATTTTGGGTCTCCTTCCATAGGCTCCTCACCATAGCTTACTGGAATTATAGTCCATTCCTGTACTGACTTGCAGGCCGCCTTGTTTGTTCACAGATTTTTAGCTTTGTACACATGTAACTGAAATCAGGGCTTTATGACGGCCTGTCCAAAGCACTGACTTTGTTCTTCGCAGAGAACTTTGAAAATAATTCGGCAGTATGATTAGGGTAATTGCCAATTTGGGAGACCAAGCATCAAAATTCTGGGTTATGTCTTGAGTCTTTGAGTCAATTTTTCCACCAGTCCTTCCTGTGGTTTGTTTGCTACAGCCTGATGTTACCAGTCCTGTTTTTCAGTTGAGTTGGTGTTATATGGCTTCCAAGTTTCTCTTTTTTTTTTTTTTTTTTTCTCTAAATGCAATGATAGTTATTATTGCCAAGTAGATTTATTTTCATCAGACCACAAAGCATACCTTTAAAAATTATGGTATTTTTCTCTGTATGCATTTGAAGATTGTAATTTTGCTTTTTATATTGTTTTGTATGGTTTTCTTCACTTAGTGACCTTTTAGCCTCTGTCAGTACAGGACACATTTAAGTGTTGGTAATTATACTCGTCTACCCAGCTTCTGACTCTGTCTAATATTTTCACATGGTCTTTTGCTTTTTGTTCTGGGGTTGATACAAACATTAAAAAAAAAAAAAAAAAAATTAAAAAAAAGATTTTCATCTCCGGAACAAAAACCCATCTCCTCCTTGAAAGATATAATGGCTGAACATTTCCATGCTATTTACACCTGTGTGTTTTTTTGTATTTGTCATGAGGATAACGCTCATCTTGTGCTAAAACATTTTCATCCAACATGGGTGATGTTGCAAAATATAGTTTTAAACTATACTAATTATAATAAACTGAGCATATTTTCCCAACTCTGAAGGCAACTCCCTATCCCAGAAAGATAATCCTCTTTCAAACTAAAAAGTGCTTAGGAACAGATAAAAACAACCCAACAGGGAAGGTAAAATTGTTGATCCTACTTCTTCAGATTCTGTGTATCTATGGAATGCTAAGGAAGTCGGATCCACTGACACAGCAACATAAAACACACAGAAATGTAAGGAAAGACAGAAAATAAATGAAATAAAGACTCAACATTTACTCTGTAACATGAGGAAGGTTATTCAAAAGATATGTGTGAATATTTCCCAGATTAAACTGAAGCCTAGGTTAGACAACGAATAGCTAAAGAAGGTTCGGTCTAAAATAACTTTTAGACTTGGAATGAGACGAAAGAGCTACATTTTGATATAAAACTGTGGAAGCGGAAAAAAAAAAAAAAAAAAAAAAAAAACAACAGGGAACGGGTTTTAAATTATCCCTTTTTTGCTAGAATAAATTATGATAAAATTAAAGGATTACTGTTTCAGTTATTGTAAAAAAAAATAAAATAAAATACACCTACCTGTCTTACAAGTAGGAAACTGTATAATAAGCAATGTCATTGGTGACAACAAAATGACTCGGAATGAATGAACAAATAATTTCAGTGTTGATGTGTTTCTGCTGTGGGCTATGAGATAAGATAAACCCAGATAATTAGTGGTTTATCTACATATGGCCAAAAAAGTAAAAATCACTTTTGTTAACAAGGTTTTATTGAAAACGTTGTTTTGGCCAACATCTGTTCTTCTGCCAGTACAGCTACTGAGTTGTAGTTTTTTGGGGCTTTAACTACCTCTTTACCTCCCGAAACTTTATATGCTGCAATGAATAGTAGCAACAACTACAGGCATGTGGAATCTCGAGTTCTTCTTCATATGCATATTGCATAGAGTGGAACTGCTATTGTATTTACAATATATTGGGCCACTCTTGTTACTGGACCCTAAAAAATGCAAAAGGATTTTACTACACACAACTGAACACCAACAAACATAATAAAAAAAACAAACAAACAAACAAAAAAAAAAAACAAGAGTACATTATATTTATATCAATTGACCAAAAACAGTGAGAGATAGTTAAGCAAGTTAATAGTTTCTACTCTGTTTGGAATTATAAGGTAGTTAAAGCATGTAGTCAAACACACCATCAGGAAAATTCACCGCTTACAATAACAGCTTTTGTTTTGATATTTGGTTGGTTTGTAGCCAACAATGTAAATTCCAATAATCAAAATCTAAATAATGATTTCAGAGAAGTATCTGTTTTTTTTTTCATATTTTTTTTGTGCTCGTCTATCAGCTGTTGGTTTTTGTTTTGTTTATTTGCTTAAAAGGGATCAACATGCACATAAATCAGTTTTACGCAATCAATATAATTTCTCCTTAGATTAGGAACATCTTTTTTCTCAAAACTTATGTCAGGAACGCTCGTGTCTGACCTAGGCTTCAGTCACAAAAGAGAATGGAACCTTGAGATGCATAAGGGTCCATAAATAAATGCACTCCATTCTGCAGAAGAAATTCAAGTGTGTTGTGCCCAACTAAGGGATCAAATATGGACAGGCGAGCAAGCAACGTAACAACAGTTGTCTGAAGCATCCACAGTTAAAAAATAGGAGTAAAATTAAAGACACATAGCTGGACAGAGAAACATGGCCGAGGAAAATCTGGAAAGAAAATAACACATGGAGGAAGATCTGATGAGGTTAATAAAATGTAAAAATAGAAAGAACAATCAGTGTGATCAGAAATCGGAGAGCGAGGAGAGTAAGTCAGATACCCAAGAAGTTCCTGCAGATTGCACAGGGGGAAGGGAAGACAGTCAGTTTCATACAGCAACAGAACAAACACAAAACACATCTCAAACCACATTAACCCAAAGACACTACAATGGTCCCAATGGATATTACATGCTATTTCTTTAGTATTCCAAATTGAAATGTCTTGACTTCTTATGATCACTTTCAAACATTGTTTGGTGTTGCATTTTGTTGTGATTTAACTTTAGTTACTCAAGTGATTAAATTAAATCAGAACATAATTTAAATCATACAAAAAAGAAAGAAAATTAGGAGAACTGGGAGACTAAACAAAAATATTCAACAGAGACAAACAGTCATGCTGTTAATCACTTGTGTCAATCACTGTCACATTTAGCTACTTATAGTTTTAGAAGCATTAGTAATCAAACATATTGATGATGATAGATGGTTGTGCTTTCTGACACAGCTCTNCCGCNCTACAANGTAGAGCATGGGTGCACATCAGTAAATTTGAGAATGTCAAAGTTAAGCTAGTTTTGTAATTCACTTCAAAAAGTGAAACTCCTGTATCAAACCCAGAGTGACTTATTTCAAATGTTTAGCTTGGTTAATTGATGATAATGGCATGTTGCCACAACGCAAAATAACAGTTTTGTAATATTACATAAGACCAACAAAAAGGCCAGCAGGCGATCGCTAACATCCTCCCCAAGGTGGGTAAACCACAAAAGGTCTCTGCTAAAGAAGATGGCTGTTTAGAGAGAGCTGCATTCAAGCCTATCATTGGCAAGATGAGAGGAAGGAAAACTGTTATAGAACAAGGTGCAGAGGTCCTTCAGACAATTGTGCAGCAAGACCCATTCATGAATTTGGGGGAGAATCAAAAGGTGTGGACTGCAGCTGTAGTCAGAGCATCAAGAGGCAATAAAAGAGGCACTTTATTGAGAAATCAAGGTCAGAAAGTCTGTAGGATGACCATTGAAGGGATATAATCCAAATTGCTTCAGAGTCTGCTATGTTTCCAACATAATATATATATATATATATATATATATATATATATATATATATATATATATATATATTTGTGGAGACAAATATATTGTAGTGTTGGTACACAGTTTAATGAAGTAGTCAGTCTACTGGTAAAATTTTAGGGAACTTCCAACAAAAAGAGCACACGCTTCCCTCTGCTGACAACTGTCTAAATCTTTTTCAGCAGCACATTTGACCTGTGATCACTGCCATAGGCACCAATGCCTGGTTTAATGACCACTGCACCAATGGGCTTGACTAACTGGCAAACTGGCTCAACTTAAATTCCATAAGGCATTCACCGAGTATTGTCAGCTAGAAAATGAGAGACATCAGATGCAACAATTCAGACAAGCTGGTGGTTGCTCTTAAAGACATTCTGGACCTCCTTAATACCTCAGCAATACCATAAGCTGATTACCACCAATCCGACCCACACTGATCTGGTAATTCATGTAAAGAAGCCCAAACCAAATATTGAGAGCATATTGTACAGCACATGGGCATACTTTTCAGATGGATGGCATTTCAGCTTTAAAAATCCTTCATTCTTGGTCTTATGTAAAATTCAAACTGTGTGAAAGATATAATTTTGTTTTTCATCAACACTTAGTCACACTTGAAAACTGTCCCTCTGTGTGTAACACTATAATAAATATATATTTTGTTAACAATTTTCTTAATTATGACATGCACCTGTAGAAGAGGCAAAAACACACTGCAGAGACGATTAATCATAAAAAACATCACAGCTTTTGTGTTGCCTTCTTCAAGCAATTACTGGATCCAATTGAGCAGGTGACACTGCGCCAAGTGAATGCAAAAATTTACATCCTCTGTTGGGAGAATGAAAAAAAAAACATTACTAATGGCCATTTGTGGCAAGGATCAAATTCTTACACTAAAAGGAAAAAAAAATGTGGAAATGTAGTCAACTTGCAAAGTCCACTTGCAAATGAGTAAAAATACAAATTTACTTGTGTGATTATATAAAGGCTTAAATAATAGGATGCTCAAATAAAATGTGCTATGTTGGTGGGGAAGCAGATTTTGATGTGTAGTAGTTACTGGTCAAAATGAGGACACTGTCTTTGCTCCCCATGTAGATCAGCTTAATGAGGATTTAATACCCTCTCTTGCAAAACATCTTGTGTCCTAGCAAATCCAGGGGAGCCTAAGCCCTTGGACCACTGAAATGTTTTTAATCACAAATCTTGGTATTTGGCATTTGATCTTTTTCATCTGAAAACTAGAAAACTGTAGCGGGGGCTTTGCCATCCTGTCTGAAAGCTGCTGTAAGAGTTTGCTATGGTGAGGAAAAGTTAATCTTCCCCTGTGATTGCTTCTCTCTGCATTAGTCTGACTACAAACCGATGTGTCGAATATTGATTATATTTCACGGAAAGAGACAGAGGATTGGTAAGTGGAAAGCAACAAAACAAGGAAGTCTACCAAACAAATCAAAAGCTAGCATGGTTTACAGTGGGGCTTGGATGGGAAAGGCTGGACTGGACTTGGGTTTGTCTGCACTAGACTGGGAGAACACTAAAAACTTACCAGGGCAGTTGTGATAGGAAACATTCTGTGCTCTTGATCCTATTCTGGTTGGACATGGACCTTGAGAAGCAAAAAGATACGGCTACAGACGTGCATGATTGGAATTTCTGAGAATGACGTGAACGTGTATGCGTTTTACTAATCCACCTTATTCCTGCAAGGGGTACAGGTCATGTACCCTTTGCTCATACATATAAGGTTTAGGCCATTTGGTGTCTTTAAAGATGTGAAATGGGGTCATCTGCTGTTGGACGTTTCGTACTGACCATTCATCAATAGTTTCTTACACACTTTAACAACTAAGTATTTCAAAGTAAGAAATGTTGGTGGTCTTTTTATGTCTGCTGTGAGGGCATATAGTTAAATGATTCCAATAAGTAAAATCTAGACAGGAGTCAGCATCTTTCCCATTCTATATGGGTCAATTAGACTCAATAGATCACAGTGAAAGCAACCTTACAGATTATTATTGTCGATTAAATTAAATAACATGAGATTTAAGCATTTTATGATGTTTAAATTGACATAATTCCTGAAAAAAGTACAAGTAAATGACACAATGCATTGTGGTTTTAAGTGAACATAATTGTTAGCTCACAGTTGCAAAATGGAGGTGGGAAGGAACAAAAAAGCAACAAGTATGTACAAAATTGGGGCAGGAAATGGTGAAGAGGCAAATTGACCTGCAGCATCCTGACATTGTTATTATAGGATTGATTCTGGATGCAACTTCTAGAAAAACAGAGGAGGTTACAGTACAGCGCTCTGGTTTTGGAAGGTAACCGTATGTTTTGAGCTGTAAGGTTGAGGAAACTGGTTGCAGTTTCACTAATTATCTTTTTTTATTGGTTTCCATTTTTACACACTTGCTGTTGTCCCTGTTAAGATACGTTACTTGTTGCTGTTTGCCTTTAACTACACAAAACGTAACTTGTGCACCAATAATATGGTGTTTAACGTGCAACAAAAGTGAAATGGAGTCGTTTCTGTAATCAGGTGTTTTTACCAGCTACCAATAAACAAGGAATCAAGAAGAATGGTGCTGAAGAATCTACATTTAAAGCAACCAGACAAATTCCCTGATATCTGCTCATTTAAATAAAAAGTCCACAAAAGGGAATTGTCACATAATGTTGTGGTTGATTGCAACCTACAACAAGACAAGAAACATCAGTTCTTTTACCCTTGTGAGTGCGAGGACTGAGGCCAAAGTAGAGGACTGCGGCAAATGATACAAGTTTTACGTGTGTGGGGTCAGTTGGACCCCATTTGTAGACACAAGGGTTAAACTGATTAACAGTACTGTAGATTGAAGAACTGAAAAAATCTTTACGTATAAGAAACATGTAATGCTATTTTAGGGTTCCGTAATATGTGTTAGCTCATCAGTATAACCTGCAGTTCCCATCCCCATTCTCAGCCTTAAATGATCATTGCAAAGTAATGGAATATGGAATTAATGTGCTCTCAAGAGATTTAAGCTCATGGAAAGAATTAAATTACATCAGCAGCTGTTTGGTTGCAATATTGGTCAGCTCTTGCAAGAGAGGAACAAACAGCACTGTAACATTCTGACAATGACACAAGAAACCACATCTGGTGGCATGTGGCATTAAGGTACTAGTTGGGCTTTACTTCTGCTTAGAGAATCACACAGTGTTGCCTAACATCTTTCAACAAAAAAATGATCAGCTTTATTACTGTGCAAGCAGTGACGTGTATCAGGTTTTTCAATTGTTAGCTTTTTGTTTATTAGCAATAATGTACACAAAGCAGCTAAGTATGTTAAAACATGTAATCAAACAATTTCTTCTGGCCATCCTCCAAATCTTTGATAGACGAGGGGACTGGTATGTATAAAGTATACTATTTGATATTTAAAAAGTTGATGTTCCCACGTTTTCTTTTTTTGTTGTTTTTTTTTTATTACATGCTGGTACTGATGCCAAGCAAAGTGTCATGAGTTATAGGAATAAGGTGGATTAAACAGAACTTGAAAGAATTAAATGACCTAGAGTGAAAGTTTAATCAACACAGTACAGCAATCCTGACTATTTCCTCAGAGTAAGAAAAGAAAAGAAAAGAAAAAAAAAACACAATCATAACAGTGGGTGTACATGAGTGCACCTTGAGGCTAATCCTTTTATTAAGGTCGGGGCTAAAACAGCAAGAGATGAGATCAATACTTCACCTAATGATAAAGGCAAGAGAAAAAAAAAAAAAAACATAAAGGAAAAACACAAGCACCTTCATGTTGAATGTTTGTGCTACTAGATCCGTCTCTGTTCAATAGTTTTAACTTAAATGGCCATTATTGTGTATTCCACCTTTAATTATATGTCCTCAGAACCACAGAGAGGTTAACCTTTAAGTTGTAATGAGTTTTAGCATCTAGTTATGTTCATGAGTGCAATCTCATCCAGTATTAGGTTGAACAAGTTGGTCAGAAATAGAGATAATAATCAATGTAGGACAGATGTAATGAAGAGGAAGCACAGTCCAAAAAAAACATGAATTATTTATAATCAATGTTCTTTAATTTGCGTTAAAACTGAAACACATGTAAAGACATAAAGGTAGAAAATACTATAAAAATTCCAAAAGACTATCTTCCCATCTCTCTCTGCTCTAATTATGTCAGTTCTACCTGATGGCGATTCATCTAAATCGTTGTCATTAATCAGTTTGCAAAGGTTAAATGGGGGAATTTCTGCACAAATTGCAAATGAAGATGGCAGCCTAAAGGACAAAGGGGACTTTTAATACAAAGCATGAGCTAAAGATTGTTTGGGAGCTGAATGGCAATGAATATTTTAGCATCAGAGCAGCAGACAAAATGCTAACACTATCTCTTTAGATGAATTGTTGCCTTGTTGACTTATGAGAGGAGCTTTCTGTGCTGTTACATAATGAAACATCTGTTAACATATTTCAGCACCTGTTGTGTGACTGTATATTAAGCCATCAAGTCAAGTCGAGCTGTGCTTTCGCCTGATAGACTGCTCTACACAAGAAGGGAAGCTCCCGCTTGCTATCACAGAGAGGCAGCATGACTTCCTCTGCCCTCCCTCTAGTCTGCTACCTCATAACTGGGCTCGTGGAAACACTGTGAGCACATCAATAATGAGGGGGAGTGCAGAGGAGGACCAAAGGGTTTTACAGGTCATATTTCATGGAAAGTTCACTGCATGACACAGATTGAAGAAGAAACAGAGGAAGAGGGGTGCTGAAAGGTACTGTAGACAAAGAGAGGCAGAGCAGAAATGGGACGTGTATGGAACAACACAAAGAGAAGGCAGAGGGCAGAAAGGAAGAGAAGCCGAGAGGAGGGGGTTTTCAAATCGTGACAGAAGGGTCATACTTACTGTAGGGCACACACTCGTACTGGACCTCCAGATACTTGTAGGTCCCTGGACACGGGTCAGGGAAGACATCTGAACCTGTGATCACAACACACTGGGTCCGATTGTTGCATCTGGAAACATAAAAAAGGAAGAGAAAAAAAGAAGTGCATTGAGACAATGTGTCGTTGTGAATTAGCACAACCTATGAAAAAAGAAAATGAATTGAAAGAGCTCTCTACGATTATTGTAGCAGTTTATCAGCCTTGTAAGTGGGCTTATGGATGTCTCAAAAATGTTCTTCCCAACTTGATCAGAGCAAGTTCCTCCTAAGAGCAGCCTGTAAGACGCTAAAAGAAGTCTGCAGAAACCTTAAGATGTCATACTAGGATGTACAGCAGGCTCTTGCTACTGTTGATATTGCAGAGCATGCTGTAGCTGATGTACAGTCAATATGTTGTTGCAATTGACTAATCTTACTTTGATAGACATGTTTTCACCAACTGACATTCTAAACTAAACCTATATATATATATATATAAAGCTTTGTGCCCCATCTTAAAAATGTATAATAGTAAAATATATGTCAAAGTTGTTCCCCTGAAATGCTTAAGATTAAATACACATAGATAAAATAAACTTCTGCAAACTGGAGAACTGCAAGGAGACTTCATGCAATCTAAGAAGTCATTTTCACATTGGTATTTGTGGAATTCACCTAATTGTTCTCAGATTGCTCCTGCTCAAAGTAAAATAGATAAATCTAATCAAGCATATGTATGAAGTTATCTACCAAACAAGTCAGGCATATTCAAGATATTTGACAATGCGTTGCATATGCTCTCTTGGTGAACAAAAACAAGAGACAATCTGTCAATAACTGTTACGAGTTACACAATATTATATTAGGGCTCATATTGCTTCTTCATGAGAGAAAAAGAGCTGATTTAATATAAGCACACTGTTTTTCCATTTCACCGGCAATAATTTCAGTTATTACACAAAACGTTTGGAGAGCAGAAACTAAAAATTGGCCCACTGTGCTCCGAGGCAAACCAGAGAGTTGCAGGTGAATCACCTCCTTTGTTGCAATGAAAGCATGATGACATCAATACACAGAGAAAGTTGTCTTTGTTATCAAGGGACATAAAATTGCATTGAAAATCCGAGCGGCCAGATCAATAGCTGATGAACAGCGGGACAAGAAAAATATGTCTCTCTTTATTAATTTATTTTTTTTTTTAATTTGAAAAATGTAATCTTGATTATTATTTTTTTTTCTCTTACTTTTTTAAAACACTCAAGAAATTAATCTCCCAGCGCATGTAAGCTATTTAAATAGTCTTACACATTTCATTTGACTACATTTTAGAACAAAGTTTTTTTTTTTTTCTTTAAATTTCTTCACAATGGACAATGTTTAAAAAAAACAGCTCTCTATATGCTTGTACAGACCCCCATTTATATTCAAATCTGTGTACGCATCTGTGTTCACAAAGAATCTCCTGGGAATTTTTGCTTCATTAATGACCTGCTTGTGTAATAACAGATAAAAATATATGCATTTTGTTGTTCTCATGTAAATGAATTCCTGTTTAGAAATTAAAACATGCACCTCATGCTGAGATCATAATAGACTGCATGGTGTGTTTTTTTTATTTATTTATTATTATTATTATTTTATTTGTGTGTGTGTGTGGGTGTGTGTGTGTGTGTGCGTGTGTGGTTTTGTGACAAATTTTTTATGGATCTGAACCACTTTCCTCATATTAAATGGTCACTTTGATGATTCTGTCTGCTTTGCTCATGCATAAGCATATCATGCAGAAGCAATATAAATCATAGTGCTTTATCCAACGGATTCCACTGAGACCAGGAAATGAATGCCTAGTTTATGTCAGGCATATAAAATAGAATAATATAGAAAAATAAAATTAGTGACACTAATGAGACACAGACCTACCATCATTACTCCGGCAAACGTACTGAACGACACAAGAAACAGGCTGAAAAAAGCTCATATTTCTTTAGAAACAATGTTGTCATATGTGTTGATAGATCTGCTTGATATATTGCCCTAATTTTAGAGCAGTGGAATAGGGGCACCCTGATCTATGGGATTGTGTGAGTCTGATTACCGTCTCATCTGTGAAACCTCAGGGATCTCCTGAGACCAATTGAAAAAGCCCTAATGACTTCTTCTATGCATAGTCCTACCACTCATTTTGGAAGAAAGCATGTAATTGAAATTCCACCAATAAAAACTTCAGCATTTGGCTGTGCAGGGCACAGGTCTCACAGTGCACACTAATTAAATACATTTAAAATATGATATCTCTGACTATCTTTTGATAGTCTGAGGCTATACAGTAATTAATCATCTTCATAATGAATATTAAGTCAAAGGAGTTTTTTTTCTTTTCTTCACTTTTCTCTAGAGTGATGCATTCTCATTCTACTCTCCATTTTTGAATAGGAAACATATTTTTAAGAAAAGCTATTTAGAGTTCAGCTTTATAATATGTGATAATCAGACAAAATACTGAGAATGCCTATTCAATGTAAACAGTTTTTTTAATATGACTTATTCTTCAAAGCAATGAAAAGAATGGCATGATTGAGCTGGTGCCTTCTCCTCTTGCCTCTTTTTCGACCTCCAGGCCGTTAATCACGCAGAAGCATTCCAAATGTAATCCCATCACATCTCTGACCTTTTGGGAGAGGCAGACATCGGTACAATTAGAGTGTTGTCAGGAACGCAGCTTGGATTTGATGCAAATCTCTCTTAAAAATGAGCACTCCCAGCTGATAGTGGGAAATGGGTGCCAACAAAGTAGAACGGATGGCACTCCTGACACCAAGTATCCACATACAATTTAACCTTTTCCCTGTCACCGTAAACCATGTCAGAGGAATAATTGGGCATGATGATAATGTGCAAGTTGTATAATAAATTGCCTCAAATGATAAACCTGTGATACTGTTCTGTTCCAATCCTGTTTTAGTCACAAACTATTGTATTTCTTATTGAAACTGATCCATTAGAAAACGTGTTTTGTTCCAAACCATGATATACACTATATTAAAGCATGTTTAGTGTATTGTACTTGGTTCTGACAAACCTATGAGATAACACAGACCATACAAGGACTGTACCATCAAGCAAGACTAATGGGTTAGCCACAAATGTTCAGCGAAAACAGTTTCTGGTTTCACCAAGGGGCCTCTGCTCTAAGCCTGGCAATATGAGTAACAATGGTGTCATACACAAAACTGCTTCAAGGCTGCTTTCCGCTCAGGTTGAAACTGATTTATTTTTCTTTACAGACATCATCAGCCATTACATCAATATTAATATTGCATATCGGTATTGGCCAAAATTTTCAAATCTGTGCATCACTAGTTTGAAATATCAGCATGATGCAAATATCATATGTCTTTTGCCTGCCTAGTCCAAACGGATATCTTGACTTAACACAACTATGTGATTTTTTAGATATATGTAGAAAAATGAGCTCAAGAAAGAAGGAGAAAAACTAGAATGTGTCTGTGTTAACGTTTCAACTTCCTGACTTCTGATTTGGTGTATTTGTCTGTGACAAAGGTTTTAAAAATTCATACCATGCAAATCCACACAAAACAAGCAATAGCTCTTTTGGTAGACGGACGACAATGTAACAGATACATTTTTCCTAACTCAATCTGAATTAGAGGTATGTTTTGACTAAAGACAATGACAAATCACAAAGCAATCAGGAGTAATCAAAACAGTGTTTCTTTTGTCTAGCTGTCTGTGCCTAGCTTTGGGTGAAATTTTCAATTTTCTCCCTTTCCAAACTCTGCTAGCCTAAAGTGGCCATTTTTAATTTACGATACGAGAAAGAAAAAAAGGAGTTGCTGCAGCGAAAACAATTGCTGCGTAACTGGAGAGAAGCAAGATGAGTGAGGGGAGCACATTACCCAAAGAGGAACAATCTACTTCCTGGTGCTCCCAGTTTGAATTTCAATCAAATTAGCGTCTCTTAAACTCAAAGTGACCCGTCTAGCCCCATTTCATCTGAAATGCTGATGAGGTTCATGGCACAATTATCAAGGCAGACATCTCTCTCAAGAGGCATGCCTGTTGATCGTAGACAGGCCATTGAAAAATTAAATCATTTCCAGGGCCACAGAATGGCAGCAAGAGAAACAATGTGATATGAGCAGAACAAAAAGCACACACACATACACACATTCAACACACACACACACACACACACACACACACACGGTATAACTATAATCATCTCCTGTATCAGTATATTTAGACCAGTTCTAGGAGGTGGCCCAATACTCATTCAGGAAGTGAGCGATTAGAAATTAACCATTAGCATCCTGCTTTCGACTGGAGATCTAACTCAATATGCTTCCAAGACATCCTTCAAACGTGTAATTGCTGTCATATGCTTGTGTTAACATTACATTTCTTGAAGTAGCCCACATAGCTCAATGGGGGGAATTCCAGGCTCTTTAAGGGTCAGGACCAAAGCTGTCTGACTCACATCCATCCAACTCTCCTATTGATTTTTTAAGCAGAAGAGGTATATCGCCATGCTACTGAAGCCAATGGAAATATTATTAGACAGTGTGCTGGTTGAAAAGTGACCTTTTGCTAAGCAGAATGTAAAGCTGGACCACCCACGAATAAAAGAAATGCCATACAGGAATAGCAATGATTGTGACCTGCAGGGGACATCAGACCTTACAACTCAAAACAATGGAATGATCAAAGGTTTGCTCATTCTTGGGTTTGGATAGCTTTGAAACTTCTAAATGTGCAGAGCTATTACAAGCAGACTCATCTGAACTCATGACTTTAATGTCACAGTTACCATTCGTTTAGGTCATTTTGCTCAAAGCAAACAGTGTCTTTTTTTTTCTCTTGTTAAATTCACTAAATATGAGTACAAATGTTTTATTAAGAAAGCTCCGAAGCATGGAATGTATTTTTTTTTTATTATTATTATTCCAGGGATGATGTAATATTCCAGAACTAATTAGTGAGTATAATGCTGCATGTTATTTATAATCAGAAGTGAGAAATGAATGAGTTTGAAGTCACACTGAAAGCTGCAGTAATGAACTCTTTATTTCCACTTTATTCAGTTTTCACATCATTACATTATGCTCATAGTGCTGTGCAAGGTCCAAGAAATTCTTGGTACAATGCCTTGGAAGTAAATAATGCACCTACCAGCTTGTTTTGGTGATGTTAGTTAACCTAGTGACAGAACACTAAATTAATTTCCAGTTCCAATTAGAAAGTCAGTGAGGTGTCAAGGTGTAAACATTAAATCAGAGGGAGCACAGAGATATAAGAAGCTATTTTACATGAAAGCGTAGTTTAGGTAAGGTTTTACATACAGGATTAATTGAGCTGCGGAAGAGCGAGAGAGAGCAAAACTTCAGGAAGTAACAGAACAACCACTGTCTGTAATGAAACATAATTTATTTGGAGATGTTGGCAGCAGTTTGGAAAGTTTTAAGGCTGTGGTTGTAATCTACTTTCTTACAGTAATAAGCACAAAAGACTGCTGTCTACTTAGCTGGCTGTGTTGACTTCTTAAAAAGATGAAGTCATTTGAAAATTAATACATAAATGTGTATTTTTTAAAAAAATACTAAAAGCATGTTTTTCAGTGACATCTCTATTGTAAGGCATGGACCTCTGGTATTAATGTAAATGATTACTGACTATTCACCGCATAAGACTAGATAAAATATATTAAATATTGCTCAAGGTCAAAGCTTCACTAAAACTGAGCTGAGAACTCACACAGAGGCCATTTTACTACTCTAACTTAGTCAAATATAGTACTGGTAACTTAATATACTCTCTTGTTTAGCACATTGTTACCAATTGGAAGGAGATTGAGAGCCTTTTTATTCACGTTGAACTTTCGCACATCCCTCTGAAACATCCTAACTGAATCTGGACCTTGATGAAATCTTAATCTTCTGTGCTTTAAATAAACACCAACAGCGTATGTACAGAGAGAGAGTACAAGGCAGAGTGCTGTCAGGCGGCAAGAATGGACCTCCGCAGAGAGCCTTGCAAGCAGTACTGTCACTGATATAAATAGTGTAAGTAGCATTCTTTAGTCTCCAGATCCCACTTCACTTTTATTGATGCAAACTTGGAGGATGCAGCTGATTTAAAACTAAAACATCGTAGCTATTTTAGCATGTTAAAATCGGATGTAGCTGCTCAAAACAGGGTGTGGAAAATGTGTGGCATTAAAGCTGTTCCTTTGTTTTGAAAACCGTGACATTTCAAGATGCACCCTTGTCCATTTCAAGAGCAAAAATGTTTATCGGTAAACAAATTTTCCTGAAAATCATTCCCGGTTATTAACTCAGTTTAACTTAAGAGTCATACAGTAATCTCACTTATAAATTCAATCTTCTCTTCCAGCGAGCAATCTGCATTGATCATTTCTGTCAATGATATGCCCCTTCTAAAAACCCATGATCCACAGGCACAGCAGGAACCAACCCTGTTATATTACAGCAATCAATGACCTTGTTATCGAATACTTACAATGAAGCTCATTAGTCAAAGTGAAATCAATGTATGTAGGCCACTTTTCATATTGTATATCTCCGTATGTTTCTTACTGTAAAAAAGATTTATCAAGGCGTATCACTGTCATCTTTTTTAAACTTCTGTTGAGATAAGGACGTGTGGTCAATTTTGGATTAATCACAAGCACACACAAGATAATTTGATTAATATCAATAAAATGCATTTTAAAAAATATACATTTAAATATACTATTATAATCTACTTGATGTTTCCATTGTGTTTGCACTAATTAGCTTCAGCACAGACGAGAAAATCTAATTATTACAAAAACTCAATCCGGCAAAAAAAAAAAAAAAAGAATAATCACAGCGCTGAATATTATCATCAATGAATTAATTATTTCAAACTTCACTGCCATGCAGTTTCACATCTGGAGGGGCGGCGTCCATATGAAAAATTCCCGTACAGATTATCACCCACTTGAGTCAACTAATTGCTTGCAGCTGAATGTTCTAATTGAGCCACAACAATCCTAAGGCTATTTTCATAAAATCATTGTGCTCATGAATATAATGTGCCAGCAACATATGAAAACAAGTCAGAGTTCTGACAGAATCCATCAAACTGTAGCAAAGCCATAACTCAACTCTTTAAACTTCAGGGCCATGTCAATCTCAGATATGTAAAAGTCAACTTAATTTTCCTCACAAGCACTGATTTTTCTTTTTCCCACCCACCTAAATTAGGAAACTGCATAAATTACAACTGCTTTTGGCTTACTCCACTCTCACACAAGGCATCACATAGCCTCGGCTTCTGATATTAATAATAAATGACCGCTCACAGCAGGACAGACCAAAAATCTATTAAATGCTCTTCATAATAATTCTTAAAGTGAAATCAGGATATGCAAAACCGTATTGATCGGTAAACCTTTACCGATCGCTTTTCTTTGCAACAATTTGAGTATTTTGTTTTTATCCGCACTGCTTCCAGTCTAATCAGAGGTGAAATCTTGCTCTTACTCTCTCCCGTGAGCCACATCCTATAACAGCGTTTTCTCCTTGTAAGATCCCACTGCTGTAGACTACAAATGTTCAGAACTGACACCCAAAGGCTAAGTATGCATTTAAAACAACATCTGATATCTTCAGTGAGTCTCAGATTTTGCATATAAGCAAAGAACCACAGTCCGTCACAGACACCGGATTGCTGCTTTATTAGGAAACTGTTTAGGAGTCGGTGGTCATTATTCCACAAACTGTTTTGAACAAGCAAGGCTGAGGGCAGTGTAACACAAAGGGTCAAAAACAGGGAGCGGGGACGCTGCAGCCTTTCAAGACAGACAATGTGAGTCAGCTATCTGACTTCATCAAATAGGACTTGACAATAACCCCCCTGAATACAAGGGCTCTACTCTTTTATTTCATTTTTTTTTTTTTTATTTCCCAAGGCGGCTTGCCAGAGTTGCTGACTGTCTCATACCAGCCAATATCTCTCTCTGTGGCAGTCATATGTCATTCCATCCTGTGCACTTTGGCTCCACTGGCATCCCTGTGTGACAACTGGTTCTTGTATTATGTCTCATGTGGCACAAAATATTCCTGGTGGAACTTTACCATGTATAAATTCACATTTGGAAGTCCATGTACCACCATTGGTTGTCTTCCAGATTAAATTATGCTTCTCTGCATATTTAAACATCTGTCAGACTATTAAGCAGTCAGAAGTCATGCTGATCTATACGTTTGCTTATATTTAGGGCATTTTTTTTTTAAATTTAAAGCAGAAATCTATGGATGCTGGTTTTCTCAATCTGGCTTCTTGTGTGGAAAATCTGACTGGTGGGTGTTTGCCGCATAATTTCCCATTTTCTGTCTTTGCCCCATTTACTGTGTCTCAGCTGTGTAATTAAATAAAGCCAATGCGAGGAAAGAAAAAACTGGTTACAGTGGTGTGTTGCACGATGCATTATGTTAAATTTTAAAATTAAAAACAAGCTGAACAGTGATTTCTAAATTTTACAACATATGTTCGTTTAGATTTAGGCCTGGAAATTGACGGGATCATTTCAATACATAAATTGTTGAAATGATCATGTTAAAAAGACAATCTTAACTGCTTTTCTGATTAATGCTCCATTTGCATTTATCAGTTTAGGTGGAAGCCCATAGCTTAATGGTTTGTGTTTTGCCATACATTTATTTTCAGATGATAAATTGAACAGTTCTCTGAAAATTGTTAGTCGAAGGGGCATACATACTTTTTTTTTTCAGTTCACTGTATCAAAAGGAATTATCACAAACCAAGCATGAAAAATAAATAATTTTTTATGAATAGAATATTATTTGACAAGTAATATGACTGTAAAGCAATTCTTTATTAGACCTGCTTTCAAAATGTATTGACTTTATTTTATTTTTTTTTTATTCTAAGAACAGAGTTTTTTTTTATTAGTGTGTAAAACTATTTATACTTGGCAGTAAAAGTTTCACTATTAATTATCACTATGCATAAAGTAGTGTTGGTCCGGTGCAAATGATCAAACACTGTGTGTGTCTTCGTGTGTGCTTTACCACTTTCCATTCAAGTGAAATAACTCATATGCAGACACATAATAAATCGATTTTGCTAAGAGCAAGCAGCTCAACCTTATTAACAAGGTAAAATAAAGCAAACACAGATAGCCTAATGTAAGCACACTAAATCTAGATTGCACATTTGCAGGTTAATTTACACCTAAGCAGAAACTGCAATAGACAGAAAATTACCTCCTCCAAGCCACATCAGATCTGCACCCTGTCAGCACTGCCACTTTAATTTACCTCTTTGTTGTAAAGAAGGAAAAAAAAAAAAGCAAATTTGCTATGTTTATAGTTCGAACAGCTGTCTAATCTGAGACTGAGATTATTTCTACTCGGCTCGAGTCTGTTTGTTGCTTATTTTCCATTTTTAATGTACTCCTTTGACACCGTTTGTCCTCTCTCCTTCACCTTTCAGAGCTGTAATGAAGTTTCTAATTCACTTTTGTTCAGGTTCAGGCGCCTCATTATCGGTGCTAACGGTAATGTGATGTGGGGTATTGATGCTGACAACTGCTGCCTTTTTTTCATCCCACACTTTTATTCAGTTCGGCTTTTTTCAGCGGACTAAATCAGCTCCTTGGAGGCAATAGCATTATCCTTGGTGAGAAACTTTATTTAAAAGCTAGTGAGAATTTTTTTTAAAACAAAAGAAAACTGTTTCATCAAAGGCAGCTGGACAAACTGAAATAGCTGGGAATGGTTCAGACCTATTACTGTGCCATGCCAATAATTTTCTGACCGTCTTGAAACTTTGACAGACACTTCGTTTGGGATCGGCTGTTTTGACACTGCACACACACACACACACACACACACACACGTGTTCGGCTTTACCTTTGTGACATGATCTTGTAGGCATCTGGAAGATAGCAGTTGATGTTCTCCATCTGGAAGGGGTCGGCGTCGCAAATCTTGTCGTCTGTTCTGCCATAGTTGGCGCTTTCAATCATTATGACATCGCTGCCTGGACACCGAAGATCAATGGGGTAACCCTCACAAGACAGCTCTCTCCGCACTAAGCCAAACGGCAGGGCAGCTCTGCTAAACCCTGAGGGAGAGGAGAGAAAGAAAGAGACTTCTCAGTGCAAATCGAAAAGAGATGTGTAGCTGCAGTGCCACAGAGGAAGACATGATCACAAGACATCAGAGCTGGATATGCACAAAGGGAGCATCTGCATGCATGTATTTTCTTGAGCCGAGATAAAGACAGAAAGCTCTTATTATCACCACTAGCCTGATCCCTTGCAAAAGTATTCATATGCCTTTTAACTTTTTTCTCATCTTACTATGTTATTGAGATTTTATGTGACAACGCTACACAAAGCAATTTCTAATTCTGAACAGTAAGGACAATCAGTAGCAATTTTCATGACATGCTACAGATTCGCAATTGCATCTATGTCTGGACTTGTGATTCAAATTAGGGATGCACAATATATTGCATTCGTGCAGTCAACGCAATGTCAATGTGTGCTAAAGTAATATTGCAAGAGTGTTTATAAAGCACCAATTGCTTGATATTTTATTAAAGTATCATTAGTCCAGGCATTGAATGTTGATGCAACATTCAGCTTGTTGGATCTAATGTCACTGAAGGAAGTACCCATAAAACGAAGCTGTGAGCTCAGAATGCTCAAGCAGCATATTGCTTGAAGCTAAGAGAAGAACGACATGAGTGAGGAGAACACAGAATAACCACAAGTAATGTCCTAATTAATTTATTTATCAAATATCACAAATGGATCATTTTCTTATATCGTACAGCTCTAATCTAAACCTTTACACTGTATATCTGGTTGTACATTGATGGCAGGTGAACCTCCAACCAAGAAAATCCTGCTAGAGGTTGCACACAACCTTTCAGGTTTGGTGTGTATTTACCTCCACCCACCTTCCCTTCAACTCTGATCAGGTTCATTGCATCTCCAGAGGGAAAGTATCCCCACGGCATGATACTGCCACCACCATCATGTTTCATTGTTAAAATGGTATGTTCAAGCTGATGTAGCATTTTTTTAATGTAGGTTAAAAAGCTAAAAGCTAAAAAGATGGCTTTGTGCCAAACTGAAAAAAAATATGTGGCTCCCTCATCCTTCTATAAAAAGGGTCAGATTTTCTACTTCAGGAGCCATTTAGTTGCATCAAAATCTATTTAGGGGCATCAAAGTAGAGGGGATTGAAACAATACCACCTTAACCTTTTCAGATTTTTTTTTAAAGAGAAACTTTGTTGTCTTGTTTTTTTTTTTTTAATCCACAACTATCCACTATTTTTTGATGATCTACCAGATAAAACGCAATGCAAAAGAGCTTGTGGTTATAATGCAGCAAAGTGCAAAAGACTTCAAAGGGTGTGAATACTTTCACATGGTACTGTACACCAGCATGTCAAGCAAACATTTCAGATCTCAACTGCACCAGGGATCTAATGGTGTTACCATGTCATCCCTGTGCCCTAACCGGCCCTGAAACAAAAATCAATAATTGTCATTAAAGTCTAGTTTGTCGACCTAATGTCTGGAGCCCTGGGCCACCTTGAAACTATTGATATAAGTACAGTGATACTGATAAAAAAAGAAGAAAAAAGAAAAGCCAAAGCGAACACCACCATTAAAAAAATGTAAAGTAATACTTTAAAAAGTTGATGTAAATAAAATAAAAAAAAATCCATATTTTTTGTGAGGAGCCTTATTTGTCAGACATGCTGTTGCTTTGTTTGTTATTTTAATGTAAAAACACATTGTGATGGTGAAGTCCATCACCACAGAGGCTTTTTTTTCTTTTCTTTCAGTGCTCATCTTTTTCTGTACGGAATAAAAAGGAACAACAACCATGACAACATAAGTGTAATTTAATCCTCTTCACAGAGCCGACAATCGAAGGTAGCTCAATTGGGAGGTAGAAAAAAAAGGAAAAAAAAGAAAAAAAAAGACGTTGTGAATGTGTGGGTATTCGTTTCCATGAGGGCAAGTGATGGGGATAGGAAAACTGAAAATAAATAAATAAACCAATGTTGTTGTTCTGCAAATATGAGTTATGCCAAAAGCCATTTTTGAACTAAAAGTGATCCACACAGGTAAACTTTATGAATCCGTATGCGTTTCTGATAACAGCGACTTTCTACTGCTGTGACACGTCAGACATTAAAGAATAAGGGCAGAGAGCCTAATAAGACTGCCAGCTGCTCCTGTGTTGACTTCTTTGACTAATAAGCTGTTCCCTGGCATCCACTGGTGACTCTGTCACCTCTTTGAGGCCTTATATAACAGGGTACCTACCTACAACTTGGTTGATGGCTGTTGTTTCCAAAGACTCTGTCTCCCTAATGAGGCTTAGTTCGCAGTCACAGAAGAAAATAAAGAACACCCTCACGACTTCTCATGTTCTAATTTGTTTGCCTTGCAGACAACTTGGAGTGATCCATTTGTGCAGTTTAGGAGCATAAAGGACTTTTCTTTCTTTTGATAAGTCGCTGGCAGGAGTTTGCTTGCAGTCACTGTCTAAATTGGTCAAGAAAGACTGAGTTCATTTTACCCTATTGAATGGCTCATCAATTAGCAACCAATACAATTATCTTTGTCTGATTAAATGCTAAGCAACAGCGGCAGGGGATTAACATTCTGCATTGTGCTTCTTGGCAGAAAACGCAGCTGTGATATTTTACAAAGGAAGATAAATGTCAGTCTGTATTGCTGGTTGCTTTGTTTGTGCACCAATCAGGTAAAAGCTCAACTCCAGAGGTATTCAGCGAAAAGCTCAGCACAAACAAAGAACATAACTGTATGAAGCAAGCCACTGCTTTGGTCAGTCTAACCTCAATTGTCTCCATGATCACTAAGTATGGATCGTTTTTCGTCTCCTGGCACTTTTTGACAGCACATTCTTTCATTTGACCAACAGGCAAAAAGTAAAGGCTTTCAAATATGATGGGTTTTAGCTGCATTTCATATTTTCAGCACTTTTGTCTGAGGAGAGAAAAAAAAGTGCCTTGGCTGATAAACAATTTATCAGACGCTAGCGTGGAAAAAGGTGAAAAACAATGAAAACACAGGGTGTTAGGAACAGAACTTGACAGTCAATCTTGAGCTCATGTCAGTGCGCTCCAGCAATGCATTGTCAGAACACTACAATACCTCTTGTAGCAACTATAGAGCAATGCTAAACATCATTCAGTGTTATACTACAGCTTTAAAATATCCAAACGGAGACATGAAAGTGGCAGAGATTCAGAGAATGAAAGCCTATGTGTTGTTTTTCTACAAGTACTTGTTTGATAAAAAAAAAATATCAGCCTTCTAAATGAGTAAATATTCTAAGCTAAGTGTAGTATGTGCCAATAAATATCTACACAAGGACAGTTATTCATCTGAAACCCATCGGACAGTTTTTTCAAAAAATATGTTGAGAATTTATTTGTTTCTCCTAGCATGATCATTTGAAAGAAAAAAGCAATGCCGACATAATTAAACAGGCATCAATACAACTTTAGAACAAATTAATCAACAGCAATGGCAATAATTCACTCGACAGAAAATGTTACCACTGCGTAATTTAAACAGCACAGAGCACCAACCATTGAGAAAGGTTCAGGAGAGGGGGTTCTGTACCAGGTCTCTAGTTTTTTGCTTGCCCATTATATTTGTAACCTATTAAAAGCATGAAAATGTTATTTGCTTATATCACATGTGATACTCAAATCAAAAAAGATATGATAGCATAATAAATTTAGAAATCAAAAAAGTGTCTGAAAACATTTTTTAGGCCATTATATTATCTTGGAAACGACATGTAAATTATATCACCACAAAAGCATACAAAAGAGGAAAACAAGAATTGTTGACAAAGCAAACTATTCTGTTCCAATACACATTTTTCTGAAAATAAAACCCACAGGGTTTTCAGGATCAGTAGATTTTATGTTGCTCCTAAGGTAAAAATGTGATGTGAAACTATTTCCAAAGGTTGTAGAAAAAAGTTTACTTTTAGGAAATTGCATTTTTACAAGTCATTATTAGAAACTATATAAAGAAAGCTTTTTTTTTTTCTTCTAATATGTGATGTCCTTTACAAAGACGAGTAATTAAAGGGTGGTTTAAAAAAAAAAAGTGCATAATCCTGCACCTCTTTGGTCAAGGCTTGAAGATTTTTTTTTTCTCTTTTTCTGTGTTTTTGGTAAAAGATGCACAAATTTACACATTGAAAAATGTATATTTTACTTTGACATAAATTGTTTTGGCACAGTTTGCTCAGTCGGAGTTGCTCAAAACGAGCCTGCCGTATTTGAAAGATCTTAAGAACTTCAAATGGATCATCAGAGGGGGAGTTAAATATTGCTGGGCGGGACAGATTAACTTGTGCAGGCCTACTTTGCGGCTGAAAGTGATCTGTTTTCTGGCCATATGCAAGACCTCTGAGTTTGATCTGCAAATCCACAGCCAGCCCAACTTATGTTTTGTGTCACATGAACTCTTTTAAAGTACTTAAATCACTCAGCAGAGCCTCCGCAATTTTAGAGCTAATGCAGTCTCGCTTCCTAAGGAGGAAAACAGAGCCTGTAGAAATGAGAAGACAAATGCATGCTCAAGAAAACAGCATTACTCCAGCTGGCACAAGCCGCCTTTCAACCATGCTGCTGGCACACTTGCTATAGCAATGCATTATCATGTTTAAATTTTGTGTGTTTCAAACAAAATTGCCGTCCTCTAAAACACACTTTATTAGCCTTCTGGGTCCATGGATCATGGACCCAAAGCAGGGTTGTAAACAACTTATGAAAGCCTCTCTCCATTGATTAGAGACCCCAGGCTGAACTACTTTTTCACCCCGCTGTCAGATGGTATTTTTAGTTTATGGGATGTGAGTGACACAGACTCATCAATATGTGGACACCCGATAGTCTGTCTGTGGAAAAATGTGAGTGCAATAAATGTATTGTTACAGTAACACCCAAAGTCACATCAGCAGTTATGGAGAGTTAACCCACGACCTACACAGCGTTTCACAATCTTCACAAATGTCGCTTTACCGGCTGAAATCACTCAAACCTGAAAAAAAACAAATCGTTT